TATCACACACATACAGATGTGTGCACACAACCATGCAGATACACATAATCACGTAAGGCATTATGCAGGGTAGTTCAAATCAGTCTCTTGCCTTGTAGATTGTGTATAACTACAAAAATAGCTGATGTAAGCAAACTTTTCCGTAATGTATAATGGAAGATTATCTCAATAAGTGTTAACTGAGAAGCTACCAGATTAGAAATATTGTATTAAACATTGTAAGGTATAAACACATTTGGACATAGATTTTGCCTGAAAGTACTTAATAGACAAGCAGCCTACATATCTTTAAAATAGCTAAAGGAAAAGGGAGTAATTCTGATCAATATTTCTATATGTTTGGTCATCAGGAAACATTGGGATAGGTTACTGGATTTTTCCCTATTCATTGTCATGATTTAAATTAGCTGATTTTAATTAAGTTCAAGATAATTTTAAATTATAGAATTCCTTAATGAAGACTGACTACTACAAACTCCCACCAAAACCCAAGAGCTTCCTCTTAGCTTTTTAATGCCAGAATCATCTCAATTCACCACACAGTCTTCCTAGGTAAGGTTGTTCCTAACACCTGGAGCCTGGCTGCCATTTGTGTTGTTTATTATGCTCCATCTGAAATTGCATGCATTCTTACTGTTACCAGCTCTCCAAGGGCTGAACACTTGGAGACTTGTATTTTTTTCCCAGCATCTTCAGGCATAAAGTTGGCCTAGCTGTTGAATTTTGTGTCTCAACAATTATCTAGACAGGAGATAGATGTTAGTTTCCCTTCTTAAAGGCAAGTCCCTTATTCAACTTAGTCTCCAGGTGGTGATAGGAAGACACCCTCTTTTCCCTCTACATAACCCACATATTTCCTGAGATGATAAGAGAAATACACAGACTCACTATGAAACAAACAATGCTCTTGCTAAAAATTTTTCTTTTAAAAAAATTTGTTTTTCCATATAAAATCTAAGGTAGGATAAAGGGTAAAAAATGCAAGAACGGTCTTGGCTACATCCTTGCTAGTCTTTTCTTTAGAACTTGGGATTTTGGTAGACGTGGGGTGGAGAGATTTATCACCTTTTATTCTTAGATTTGATTGGGAATGTTTTATTTTTATCAATAATCTCAGTGGGTATGGATGAGCTAAACATCATTCTGAAATGTGAATTGCTTCACTGTAAAAATAAAATTTTGATTTTTTTTCCATTCTCTGCAGACTTTTATAAAGGAAAAACTGAGTTTGAATCTGTAACAGAGTTCTGTCACTGCAATTACATAGCATGTGACTAAAAAAAGTTTAGATGCAAAAAAAATGATTTAGTACATTTGAGTCACTTGGCCACCAGTTGTCTTGGTCTGTGTTGGTTTGTTGTCATGCTGCTGACAAAGACATACCTGAGATAAGGCTATTTTAAAAATATAGAGCTTTAATGAACTTACAGATCCATGTGGCTGGGGAGGCCTCACAATCATGGTGGAAGGCAAGAAGGAGCAAGTCATGTTTTACATGGATAGCAGCAGGAAAAGAGAGAGAGCTTGTGCAAGGAAACCCCATTTTTAAAATCATCAGCTGTCATGAGACTTAATCATTATCAGAAGTACAGCACAAGAAAGACCCACCTCCGTGATTCAGTAACCTCCCACCACGTTCCTCCCATAAAATGTGGGAATTATTGGATTACAATTCAAGATGAGATTTGTGTGGGGACACAGCCAAACCATATCATGATCCAACATTTCTCAATTAAGAGAATACATGTTGAATAAGAGAACTTACCCACAACTATAGCAGGAGACATATCACTCTTTGTTGAGGCACACATGATGCTAAATCATGATTTAGGCCATCTAGCTATGCCATAGTCCTGAAGGATAAGAAGGGTAGCTAGCTACTGGTGCCTCTCAAGGCCAGAGGGGATTATATTGATGGTGTTTGTGCAGAACTTCAAATCTTCAAGCATAAGCCTGAGATCCCAATTTTGCCAATAGTTAATTTATGTCATTATAGGTAGAGGAAATGTATGATATAGACTGGTGGACTATTATTTTGAAGGTTTCTCAAAAAAACATACCTCCAGATAAGGCAGAAAAACAATTCATAAGTGCTAGAAGAAGGTAAGCAGAGTTAATGTGGTTATACTTACCAAGGAAAAAGAGAAAAAGTTTTTTTTTTTTTTTTTTTTTTTTTTTTTTTTTTTTAAGGAGATAATTTCACTAGGCTACCTTGGAAACTAGCTCTTTTTCTTCCACTGTTAGAATAAATAGGCTTATTTTACTTTTCCTAGATGTCATCCTAGAAGTATAGTAGTGTTGGATAAACTTTTCAAAAATGAACCAATTTATGCTATTCAAAAATTCCAGTTTGTACCTTTAAGAAATTTAAATGTAAAGAAAATATATAACACATTCTCTTTTATGGTAATGACCTACAGCTAGTTTCAGAATAAGTTTTGCAATTCCATAAGAATTCCTCTTGTTGGGACTCTGGTTCTTGGCAAAGGTGAGAAAATCAGGCTAACATGATTTTTACTCAGTTGAAATACGAAGGCTTTTGTTTTTGTTTTGTTTAATCTGTATGTTCCCAGTAGAAAAAAATTCTTCATTTAGTTAGAAAAAAAATGTTACTATGTTTGTCTCTCACTATACAAATTGGCAAATATTTTCATTTGCTTTCCAAGGGAAAAGAAAAACTAACAAAAAGTGTACAGTCACCAAGAAGTTATTTTCCCAAAGTAGACAAGAAAACACATCACTATATCCCATTTTCCTTTATGAAAGTACAGAAAGTATTTGAAGAACACTAATGTTCCTGGAAGCTTCAGGGTGATAGAAACTCAGTTTCCAATGCTCTTATCTCTGCTCAGAGGCTCTGTTTTTGTACAGATCAGGGATTTCTAAAACATTTATTGTAATGAATTGTATATAGATTCTACTCATCCTAACTCCACAAAACATTTCCATGTCGGTGAAACAGATGGTTGAGCACAATTAGGTTTTTGGCAGAACTGTAAATACAGTGAGTCCTTTTCTCTGGTGTCTTACTGCCACGTTGCTTAAGTGTATCATAGAGGGAGATCAATAGAAAACCATTTATGTGACAGAGTTCTGCTGCTTTTTTCCTCTTTGGAAAGTTGATGACTTCTCATTATGTTAGTATTCTCAATTTATATTTTGCTAAGTGCACTAATTGGAAAGCAAGTTTGCATGTCTAAGTGGCTGATATTTTACATTGTGTTCCATGCATTTTACTGTTATTGAAAAAACTGGATTATTTCAAATTTGATAAGAGAAAAATTTTAAACAAAAATTATGTTGGAAAGTAAATATTTTTTAGCCTTTGCTCAGGTTGCTGTGTGGGAAAAGAGGTTATTAATCCATTTGATAAAGGGTACTGTCCATATGGCTGTCAGTTCTTCTAAAGGCTTTGCTTCCTTGGATACTACAACTAGATCAATCAGTCCAATCAATGACTACTTTACAACACATGCTATTAAAAATAATTAAAGGTATGTTCCAGAGAAGAATCATTTATATATTAACTCTCTTACTGGAAATAAGAGGACCTCAAAAGGTTATGAATTATACAGATCTGTAAGAGGACATTTGATAGTAAGTGATGATAAGCCACTTTTGAGCTGATTTCCTTACTTACCTATGCCAAACGTACTCTTTTTCTTAAATGGTAAATTCTTTGAATTCCTTTGAGTGTTCTTATTTGAGTACAGGAAGACATTTCCCAGCTTCTTTGGCAGTTACACTGAGGCCAACTAACTGGGTTCTGGTCAATAGGATTTGTGCAATATTTACACTTCAAATACAAGCTTAATTTTTGAATAAAAATATTTTTCTGCCAGCCATTGAAAATATTTTCTGATTTTTTTAACATCATTAGACAATCATCTTCAAATTTTATTATTAGTCAATTTCAGTGCAGCCTCAACAGCACTTTCATATCACAAGTAATCCAAAGAGGGACATGCTTGTAGAAAGCATAAACATCAGCCACCCAAAAGTAGGTATCAGGAATCATTTTTAAAACTACACATTCTAAAACTTAGCATTGAACATAGATATCTTTTTACAGGTAACAATAGGTGCTCACTTAGCTCTTTCAATTACCTCTTCCTCCATATATGATATTTCCTAGCCCTCTTTGCAGTTTTTCTTTCTCTCTTTTTTTTTTTTTTTTTTTTTTTTTTTGAGCCAAGTTACTTGGCTCTAGCAAGTGGGATTTGAGCAGGAGTAATACCCACACCTGTCTCTTGAAATACACCACAAGATACTTCACTGTTTCTTTTCTTTCCTCTCAGTTCTTGACCACGTATTCATGATGATATAGCTACAACACAGGTAGCCCCTCTCAGTCTTGTTTACTAAGTGGCTATGTGGAGCAAAGTATCACTCTTTCCTCCCACTGATATTCAGTGGATCCATAAGATAAGCATTAAATGCATTTTTTTTTTTAGTTAGGCCACTGAGATTGGGGTTTAATTTGTTTCTACATCATAGGTAAGCCTATCCTGATTAATATAAAATGACAGATGTTACCAATATGTCAACTGTAGTATTGAACTATAACGTGCTTCAGCATAAGAATTCTAAAGGCCAGGCATGGCGCCTCATACCTGTAATCCCAGCAGTTTGGGAGGCCAGGGCAGGTGGATCACCTGTGGTTGGGAGTTCAAGGCCAGCCTGACCAACATGGAGAAACCCCATCTCTATTAAAAATACAAAATTAGCTGGGCATGGTGGTGCATGCTTGTAATCACAGCCACTAGGGAGGCTTAGGCAGGAGAATTGCTTGAATCGGGAGGCAGAGATTGCGGTGAGCTAAGATCATGCCATTGCACTCCAGCCTGGGCAACAAGAGTGAAACTCTGTCTCAAAAAAAAAAAAAAGCTATGTATAATAATAATTTGTTGAAATAAGTATTGGGTGAAGACAGCTGAGATCTTTTGAAGAAGGTGCATGCAAAAATACTCCATCTCGAGGGTATGTTAACTGGTTTTGTGTTTTGCCTTTAGTGACTATGCCTTTATCTTTTGAAGTACAGTCCTATGTAGTAGTAGGAAAAAGCTTACACCCAGCATCAGCTGCTGTTTCTTGGGTTGGGTTTTCTGGTTTGCAGCCATTTTTCTGAGTATGTCTTTGATCATCAGTAGAAATAACAAAGTTCTTCTGTTTATCTCAATTGATTGCATAAATCTAGCCAAATGCAGTGCCTGTCAGTTTCTTTTCATTATAGACCAAACACTTTTGCTTGTTGGCTTTGCTTTGCTTAGAAATGCCTTGGAGAATTCATGGATTTCATGGGGCAAATAAATCACCAAAAATGGTATGCAATATTTTGGTTTATATTTATGTTTTCAGCTTGAGTGGTTCTAGGACTTTCATTACAGGAGCTAATTTCAGAATAAGCAAACATTATGAATTATCTCTTTGGCTACATATGAATCATAATCTCAGTGAATCAGGAAACTGGCTGAATACCAATTTGTCAAAGCAAGCATGCACAGCAGCTGCTTGAGCTGTAAATTTATGGGGATACAAAAGTAAAAGAGCAGTGAATATGTAATCGAACATTTCTAATGCAACTACAAGTGGTTGTGATGAACATGTTGGAAACTGGATTTATTAGAAACCTAGTCCAGGTTTTTTTTTTTTTTTTTTTTTTTTTTTTTTTTGAGAGAGGGTCTGGCTCTGTCGCCCAGGTTGCAGTGCAGAGGCACAATCATAGCTCACCATAGCCTCAAGCTCCTGGGCTCAAGTGATCCTCTCACCTCAGCCTTCCTTGTAGCTGGGACTACAGCATGTGCCATCATGCCTGCCTACTTTTTTATTATTATTTTTTTTTTTTTTAGAGGCAGGGCTACACCATGTTTTCCGGGCTGGTCTCAAGCTCCTGGGCTCAACCAGTAGTCTTACCTCAGCTTCCCAGTGCTGGGATTACAGGTGTCAGCCACTAAACCCAGGCCCTAGTAAAATTCTGAAGTAAGAAATAAGCTCTATCTATGAACAAGATGTCTATATTAACTTATCTTTCTCTTCATAGTATCTAACTATTTTTAATGTAATATGATGTACTATGATAGCCCAGAGGAAAAAACACAACTCGAGGTATAAACTCATTTTCAACAAATAAACTTTTATAAGACTGACATAATGATGCCTATCATATTTTAATAGAAATTTGTATCATTTTAGGAGATTTAGTGGCTTTAATTAGATGTAATTTTTTAATCATTACCAACCACAATATCTTACTTATTTTTAAATTGTTATGGGGTTTTGCCTTTTTTGTATTGTTACCTACTATAATGCAAACAACAAAATATATTGAAAAGAGTTGCAATGTACTGAATGTGTTCTCTTCAAATTTATTTGTTGAAGACCTAATCCTCAAAGTGATTGTATTAGGAATTGCGGCCTTTGGTAGGGAATTAGGTTTAGATGTAGTCCAGAGGCTGAAGCCCCCATGATGGAATCAGTGCCCTTATAAGAAAGGTGAAAAGAGCCGGGTGCGGTGGCTCACGCCTGTAATCCCAGCACTTTGGGAGGCCGAGGTGGGTAGATCACGAGGTCAAGAGATCAAGACCATCCTGGTCAACATGGTGAAACCCCGTCTCTACTAAAAATACAAAAAATTAGCTGGGCATGGTGGCGTGTGCCTGTACTCCCGGCTACTCAGGAGGCTGAGGCAGGAGAATTGCCTGAACCTAGGAGGCGGAGGTTGCGGTGAGCCGAGATCGCGTCATTGCACTCCAGCCTGGGTAACAAGAGTGAAACTCCATCTCAAAAAAAAAAAAGGTGAAAAGATACCAGAGATTCTTCTCTCAGAGATAACACAGCTGTATGCAAAGCTGGAAGAGGGTCCAGATCTGAATCAGCTAGCACCTTTAACTTTGGATTTCTAGACTCCCGTCTGTGAGAAATACATGTTTGTTATTTAAGCCACCAGGTCTATAGTATTCTGGTAGAGTATCCCAAACTGACTGAGAAAAGAGTCATACAGCTGCCATAGTTATGTTGGTATTTCTCCCATAATCTAATGTACATTTATTTTTCCACTCAATGAAGAAATGGTCTGGTTGTTCTGAAAAGGTGCAAAGATTGAGTCAGTGACCGTTTTCTCCTCCTCATGATCTCTCTCCTGTCCAGATACGCTCCTATTCCTTAGGCACTCAACCTATCCTATCATTTACAAGAAGTGAGGTGCCATATTTGGCTATGAAAATCAGAAATAGAAATACAGCTTTGTCGTTAAATGGAAATAGCACAATTCTTGTATTGATAAAATGTTTATAACCTTAGTATATTTAATTTAATAAATGTGTATTATGAGGAGATTTTTGCCCATTACAGGAAAATAAATAAGAGACCTATCAGACCCAAGAAGATGAATAAATAAGAGTAGGAGAAAATAATGATACAAGTAGCCAAAGTTCCTGACAGAGGTAAAATATGACCCCAGAGAAAACAGAGTTCTTTTAATTTCACCTGAGTGCTGATATACACTGAATGACTTTGTTTCTACAAAATTATATGTTGAAATTTAATTCCCAATGTTATGGTATTTGGAGATGGGGTCTTTCTGAGGTGATTAGGTCATGAGAGTAGAGAGCTCATGAATGGGATTAAAGTTCTCATAAAATGGCCTTAGAGGGTTTTTTCACTCCCTGCCATCATTTGAGTAGATTTCAGAGGAAGTATTGAAATACCTGGATGTTCAGGCAGAAGTCTGCTGCAGGGGCACAGCCTTCATAGAGAACCTCTACTGGAGTAGTACATAGAGGAAATGAGGAACTGGAGCTCCCACAGGGAGCCCCACTAGGGCATTGTCCTCCAGACCCAGAATGTTAGATCCACCAACACCCTGTACCATGTGCCTGGAAAAGCTTCAGGCACTCACCATCACCTTGTGAAAGCAGCCACAGGGACTCTACCCTGCAGAGCCACAGGAGTGGACCTACCCAAGGCCTTGGAAGCCCACTCTTTGTGTCAAAGTTGCCTGTCTGTGAGACATGAAGTCAGAGGAGATTATTTTGAAGCTTGAAGATTTAATGACTTTCCTGCTGGATTTTGGACTTTCATGGGGCCTATAGCCCCTTTGTTTGGCTGATTTCTCCCTTGTGGCATGGGAGTGTTTTGCCAATGCCTGTACCCCCATTGTATCTACAAAGTAACTAACTTTTTTTAAATTTTACAGGCTCATTGGTCAAAGGGACTTGCTTTTTCTTGGATGAGACTTTGGACTTGGACTTTTGAGTTAATGCTTAATGAGTTAAGATTTTGCAGAACTGTTGGGAAGGCATGATTGTATTTTGAAATGTGAGAAAGACATGAGATTTGGGAGGGGCCAGGGGCAGAAAGATATGGTTTGGTTTTACATCCCCACTTAAATCTCATTTCAAATTGTAATCCCCACGTGCTCAAAGAGGAGCTGAGTGGGAGGTGAGTGAACCCTGTGGGCAGGCTTCTCCCTTGCAGTTCTTATGATAGTTAGTTCCCATCAGATCTGCTTGTTTTTTGTTTGTTTGTTTGTTTGTTTTGAGATGGCATCTTGCTCTTTCACCAGGCTGGAGTGCAGTGGCAGAATCTTGGCTCACCGCAACCTCCATCTCCCAGATTCAAACGATTCCCTTGCCTCAGCCTCCTGAGTAGCTGGGTCTACAGGTGCTCACCACCGCGCCCAACTAATTTTTTATATGTTAGTAGAGATGGGTTTTCACCATGGCCAGGATGGTCTCCATATTCTGACCTCATGATCCGCCCTTCTTGGCCTCCCAAAGTGCAGGGATTACACGTGTGAGCCACTGCGCCTAGCTGAGATCTGCTTGCTGTTTTTTTTTTTTTTTGAGACGGAGTTTCACTCATGTTACCCAGGCTGGAGTGCAATGGCGCGATCTCGGCTCACCGCAACCTCCGCCTCCTGGGTTCAGGCAATTCTCCTGCCTCAGCCTCCTGAGTAGCTGGGATTACAGGCACGCACCACCATGCCCAGCTAATTTTTTGTATTTTTAGTAGAGACGGGGTTTCACCATGTTGACCAGGATGGTCTCGATCTCTTGACCTCGTGATGCACCACTTTCCCATTTGCTATTTCTTTTACCACCATGTGAATACGTGCTTGCCTTTCTTTTGCCCTTTCAACTTAATTGTAAGTTTCCTGAAGCTTCCCCAGCCATGCCTTCTGTACAGCATGTAAAATGGTGAATCAAACTTTTTTTCTTTACAAATTGTCCAGTCTCAGGTAGCTCTTTATTGCAGTGTGTGAACGACCTAATACTCTATTCTATGGTAATTTGTTATTGCAGCCTAAACAGACTAAGTATTAATTAACTCTAATGATAAAGACAAGGGAAGGTTTCTTAGAGAATGGTGTAGAGTTTGGTGGGCAGTGCTAATAGAATTAAAAGCTAAGAACTTTTGAAAAAGGCAAGTAGGGTTTGAGTTTCTACTTGGACTCCTATGTCTGCACTTTCTGGAGGCTTCTCACTGTATGTGTAATAGGGAGTCATGACAAAATGCATATCTTATGTCTTGTCTTAGGTGTAAATGAAACACTAGGAGGAAAGTCTGAGAGGTGTCTAGTCAGCCATCAATGATCATAGCAGTGGTTATTGTACAAACTGTTTGATTTGCTAAGTACTCTTTATACTAATGAAGGCAAATTTAATTTGGGATTAAACATTGAAGCAGAAATTGAGATCCATACCATTAGGAGGTTTCTCAAAAGAGCCAAGAAGATGTGGATTCCTGAATTTGATAATAAAATCCCACATTTAGAAGTCTGCAGTAAAAGGGGATTGGGGATCAGATACAAAGTTACAGTTAGAAGAAAATAGTGCTGGTGTTCCATTTCATAGTAGGGTGTCTACAGTTAACTATAATATATGTTTCAAAACAGCTAGAAAAAAAGAACTAATAATTGTTTGACATAAAAGATATGCTAATTACCCTAATTTGATCATTATGGCATATGTGCATGTACCAAAATGTCACATTATACTCCATAAGTATGTGTAATTATTAAATGTCAGTATAAATCAAATGAAAAAAACTGAAAAATACCTCCAATAAATAAGAGCAATTAAAAAACAGCACGTAATTTTCATTGATTAAGTATTGTGTGAAGAGAGAAATGAACACACTGACTTAAATTAACTCATTTAATTTTCAACTGTCTTTTTGTGTAGATGCTAATATTATCCCTATTTTATAGAAGAGAAAACTAAGGCACTAAGTAATGTTAGTGACCATACCAGCAAGGGGTTAATATTGAAGAAGGGTACCCAAAGTCTGACAGGTGGTGTTAGATACAGAAGTCGAAACCAAGCACTCTGACTCTTAGTTCCATCAACACAATTTGTTAAATGCCCACACATTTTTGGAATAATGGGCTTTAATTTGTTCATAATGAGTATTGCAATGTAGGAATTTGCAGTGGATCCTCCTTAATCCAAATGCTCAAAATTCTGTAAGAATGTTTAAAAGAGAGATGACACTTTTATGAATGAGAAGTGACTCGCATTAGCTAACTTCTTATTCTGTTATAGCTGGAAATAAACCAAAGAGCATATTGGAGTTATTAACAGAGAGAATTCATTTGGATCATATTCCTGTCTTAATGGGTCTCAAATTACCCTGAGGGGTGAATAAATCATCCCATGTACTAAAAATGGTTCTTGAATAAGCCAGATTCTTTTTCAGTTCAAAACTTCATAAAAGTGAAGATTAGAGAGTTAACAGAAAATTACCTGGTATTTTCTGAATAATGTGAAATGTATGGCACCCAGAAATATCAAACTGATTTGGAAACTTGACAATAAAAGGAAAAATAAACATCATTTTGTGTGGTAATAAAAAAAAATCTGATTGATTTTTAAATGTTAATCCTGAGTTCAGAGCGTCAGATAAATCTGGATTATGTGCCAGAAGCTGAAATTCAAGCAGGTTGTCAATCCATTGAGGTTGGGGGCAGAGATCAGAATCTGGTACAAGTGAAGTGCTACGCTATGCAGGGCAGGACAAGAGATTGGAAGAGCTATGGAGATAGGACCCCTATACACTTATGCATGGGCTTTTCATAAGTTACTGACCAAATTCTGGACTCAACATTTTCACAATATTAGTACCCAGGCTATCCTGAGAAAAGGTGCTTCAGTGTTGAGAGCAAAAATAGAGATACTAGAAGTGAAGCAATGCTGAGGAATGTTGGTGTCCATACCAGCAAGGAGTTAGTGACGTAGTGACATCAGGTAATATCCTGGGAAGCTACCTCAGACGCCAGAGACACATTGATTCAGAAGTACTAGGCATACCCTAGGGCAAGTTCCTCAGTCTTAACACTGTAGGTATTGGCCCAGGTAATTCTTTGTTTTGGGCTCTTACCCACTAGGTGCAAGTACAGTTTCCCCTACTTAAGGCAGCTAAAAACACCTCCAGACATTGCCAAATCACCTATAGACAACTGACTTAGACTGTAAAGTAAGGAAGTATCTAAGAGACTAATCAGATAACAAGAAGATGAATAAATGGAAAGTATACCACATAGTGAAAAACTTTTAGAAACAAATGTGAAATAAAGTGTGGCTCTGATTTTGGTATAAGACAATTTTGAATACAAGCCTTGAAATCATTAAATAGTATATAGAATGGCACTTTATATAAAGTTGTATTCTATGACTCATAATGAAGATATATGGTATATAAATATGCCCAGACATAATGTAATTAGTAAGGCTGATTTAATGGGTTGAAATTTAATGGAGTGAACAACAAAAACTGCTAGTACACAATTTCTTAGATTGCTGATTAAATGTTCTTAAAATTTGATCATTTTTGCCTTTATTTTATTTCTGTATTTGAAAATTTTAGCCCATATTTGGTTGAAAGAACATGTCAACACATTTCATAAACAAAAAGCAATTAAACCAAAATTAATTTTTAAAACTACAGAAAAATAAAGACCGTAAAGCTTAAGGGTACATTTACTAAAAATAAAATCTTGAGTAACAAAATGGGAATTTATATTAAAATTTCAGAACATCCAGAAAATAATAAAAATAAAACTCTGTGCATGTATGTAGATAGGTGTATGCTATATGTGTATATATGATAGAGGTACATGTAGATAAATAATTTTAAACTGTATATTAATTTTTAGTTAAAAACAAGAAAGTAGTTTATATAGATATGTTATTAAGCAAAAAATAAAATGATATGAATGGTTGTTTTAGACCAGTCATAGAGAAATACTTAAATTTCAACTTAAACAAATGTTATAATTTAACTTTTGTTTCAAGTCATTGTTAACTCAAACCAAAAAATGACCTCAAATGAATTCTGCAATTTCAGCCCATCACTTATCTTTTATCCTGTTCCATAATATATTTGAATGATGTTCACCAGGAGACAAATTTAATGAAAATCAAATATCTTACTAATGGAATGCTCAAGTCTTTCCATGAGATGTAAGCCATTGTTGTTGTTTATTTAATTAGAAAAACCCTTTATAAAAATGAGTTAAATGCAGTTATTCTTATAGATAAACATCTTTTCGTTTTCAGGTTGCTTTGGTAATTTGATTAACTTGATTAATTTAGCACATCTGTCTTTTATTTTTCCCAGGTTCTTCTGTGGTATAAAGATATTATACACTCTTTCATTACTCTGCCTAATAATTACCTAATGAGAGATATTTAACTGGAGGAAAAATTTTTTTTTAATTTTAAATAATGAATCCAAGCTCTTTGGCAATATATAATCATAAGTAAAGTAGATTTTATTACAAGCCTTATTTATATAACTAATAATTTAACTTTTTACTGACGTTATTCTATATCAAATTATTTATTTATAACTTGTCTAATTTGTTCTTTTGTTATGAAAAAATACACTTAGAATAACGTTATCTGTAGTTAGGAGGCACTTTAACATCAATTGATGCAACTGTATATCCACGGGAGAAATTTCCTGCAGTATCCTGACAAAGCACTATTCTATTTTTGATTAATTACTTCAGTGAGAAAGAGGACTGAATAGGTTAAAGAAGTCAGTCTTATTGAAAAACTAAAGTATTCAAAATCAAACTCAACATTTATCTGAAGTTTTATTCTTTACACAACTTTCTCCCACGTTTGTTTAGAACATCCTATTATGGATTCGAAGATAGCAATTACATGTTTACAGGCCCATAATACACCACCTTAGGCTTCTTTATTTAGCCTGTTACAGGCCTCCCCAATGCTCTCTTCACTACTGTTTAATTTTCTCCCAGTCAACTTTGTCTTTTGTCTCAGTCAACTTCATCTTTTTTCTCAGTAAAGGGCAGAAATCAATTAAGACTGTAAGCTGCCATATTGGTAACAACATAAGCCATTTCACAAAAAGACATTATGAAAATCAGTGTTACTATTTCCTAAGGCAAGGATCCTTCCATGCAGCAATTTCATTCAGTGGGATATGTACTAAAACTTAGTGACACTGACTTTAGAAGATAAAACATCTTTGAATTACTCAAGAAATTCTCAGTAGCACAGGTGTGGTGTTTTTGATAGGCAAACTGTATCTTTCCTCTATTGATTTATTTTGTGTTACTACACAAACAGCTGTTAAACTCCTCCCAGGCATTTTCCTGAGTAGGAGCTAGTGATAAATACTTTTTACTTAATTTTTGTAGATTTTATACTTATGATATCATAACTATGAAGAGAGGTTCTCACTTCCGGGGCATCTCTAAGTGGATTTAGTTTTAGCTGGAGCAACCGCTTCATATAATTGAACTCTCAGCCATAATCTCAGCTCACTTGATTTTCTGGTTGTGGTTCAGAGTCTTCTCTTTCAAATAGGTCTGTTTTTCTCCTTTCCTCCTATACTGAAACATATGCTTTCTAATAAATGCCCTAATATTATTTCATATTAACTAACTATATATATTACACAAAATATCCCATAAACACCATGTATTTTTCTCTAAAAATATATTTGATCAAATACATGATCTATTTTTATAACTAAAGCTATAATTTTCTCTATTTCAACATAAGGAATTACCTCCTGAACCGTACTACTTATTCAGTCCCCTCACTGATAATATTTGGAATTAAGTTCCTCTTCTTACCTTAATGAACTGTGTAAACTTGAAGAAAACAATTTATCTTACCTGTAAAGTGTTGAGGTACATATGGGGTATATATTGAATAGATTGTAGATATTATTTCTTTCTTTTTATCAATCCAGTCTTCTCTCTTTCTTTACCTTACTCATCAACTGAATCTTAACAAGTTATTCTTACATTTTATTTTTTCTAAAATATAAATGTAATTATTTTTTTTGGAAACTCAGAATTTATTTCAGCTAATTATACAGTTATTTTGCTGTATAATAATTTTTAACAAAAGTAATTTCAGTTTTGAATTCTCCACAAGTTTCATATGCCTGACTTTGATGTCTTTATTTAAAGAAATGTTAACACATCAGGGCTCTTTACAGTGTTATATCTTCACTCTTAGCTCAGTACTCTCCCAATGCCCCTAAGATAACATTAGGTGCCCATTATATATGTTCCCAGTGCAGCCTTTAATTGCTCCTTAGTAATATATTTTAATTGTAAGTGATGGTTTGCTTGTCCATTTCTTTTTTTTTTTTTAATTATAATTTAAGTTCTGGGATACATGTGCAGATTGTGCAGGTTTGTTACATAGGTATACACGTGCCATGGTGGTTTGCTGCATTCATGCTCCCATCATCTCTACGTTAGGCATTTCTCCTAATGTTATCCCTCACCAATGCCCCACCCCTGCTATCCCACCCCTAGTCCCTC